AACCTGGCAGAGCCGGTGTAAGTGATGGAAGGGGCTAAACGCTGGCAGTGGCGCTTTCGACGCTGAACAAACTGGCAGGACAACATCACGAAAAAAACAACAGTAACAAAGACAACAAAAGAACACAGGTAGAGGTGGTACAGAAATTGCTGGTTCTTTGTTTAAGCTCTTAGTCGAACATCTTACATTAGGGTTTTTTTTCCTGCACACAGAAATATGCACACACACACGGAGAAATGTGACCCGAGGGCAGGCAGCAGAGCAGCACATGTGTAGTACCACCGAGTTACCAACCAGCATGAGTCACTGTGAACACCGGTCGACCCAGAGAGAACAATGGTAACTGGTGTGTGAGGTGTCTGTCAAGCATGCACACACTGGCACAAGATGAAGCGCCGCGGATGGAGCAACGTTTCACTGCAGCACCATCATGCTGCCATTTGCTTTAGGGCTTTCTTGATTTTTTAACATTGTGGATGCACGTTTGCCCAAGTGTAATCTCTAATGGCCAAACAGGTCTGTAGTTTATGTGTATTTGTAAAAGGAATGTAGGCTCTGCAGCATGCTGAGAAGTTATTAAAGAACAACAATATGCAATTGGTGTGCACTGAATTTATTGTATAAATAAATTTATTGCCATTTGCCAAATGGGAAAGGGGGTTATGTTTTTAGCCAAATTGCTTGTATGCTCATATATATACACAAACACACAAACACACACACACACCGGTATATATTAGGGCTGGACAATAATTCGATATCAATATATGTTGCGATATACTTTTATTCAATAACGGTGATAAGAGTTTTAAGCACATTCTCGATATTTCGATATGATTACAGTGTTTCACTGACGCATTTCTTCTTCTATTTGGGTTGAAGCGGCCACTTCAGTTTCAACCAGGACATAAAAAAGGTGCGACGCAATTATGTTTTTTTGGGGGGTTTTTTTTGCAACAAAACAATGTAAGTGCGTGGTGACGTAGATGTTACGCAAAGCTCGAGTCTAGAAGGCATTAACGATAGCAGGCTAGGCTAGGCTAATCTCCAACACGCGTTACGTTTTCGCTTCAAAATGAGTGCCCACGACCGTCAGAATGTGACTGAACAAGTTTTCACAAGCAAAGAAAAAGCAGACGACATAATTGATAAAAGAGGAAAGACTAATTTGGCGGTGTGGAAGTGGTTTGGCCTTCTAAGATCTGATAAACTGCAGGTTTCAGTCGTGTGCTGCAAAATGTGCCGGAGAGTCGTTCCAACTAGCGGTGGGAACACATCTAACTTGTTCCACTTGATAGAAAATGCTGAGTCAGAAGATGAAACACAATAAAAGTTTGAGCCAACGTGTCCCTGAAACAACAGCCCCAGCTGTATCAAAAGAGAAACACATGCAGCCAACGTTAGGTTATGTTGTTGATTAAAGTTAAAACTATTAATATCGACAAAGTTGAGAGTTTTGTGTTTATTTGACGTGATTTCAAATTTCTTTGAAGGCTAAATACAAATAAAAGGTGGACATTAATTTATTTGTACAGTTTTTCTGAGGTTTTTATATTGTTTATATCGATATCGAATTATATCGTTATCGACCGAAATTAAGAAATATATCGTGATAAAAGTTTTGGCCACATCGTCCAGGATTTTAAAGAAACTCTCAGGAAGTAATTATTCGATGCGCATCAACAAGTCAATAACATTTGAAGTCAACTCAAATCAAGATGGCCACAACAGCCACAAAATGGCTTGAACTTAAGTCAGATTTACAAATATTGAACAAATATTGGTGTGGTAATAACAAATAGTCATCCCCAACAAATACTGAGGGTGAACCCATCTCTCAAGATCTTACAATATCACAAACCGTCATATACAAGTTTGACCAAATCAGCTGCAACTCTGTCCCTTCTCATCATACGATGATCTTTAGTTTAAAATCTGGCATAAAGGCGGTAGATAAAAAGCATTTCTTCAAAAAATGTTCAGTCTTTAAATGTTTCTGTTTTTCCTGATCAAGTAATGCCAATGCACACAGACAGATACTGTACTTCACAGCTCGTTTTATTCTTGACAAAGATAATTTTCTTCACCAACCCACAGACAAACAGCTGTTTGTGACGCTCTTCAGCTACACTTGGCATTTTACAGTCATAAACATTAGTCCAAATGAACATCTGCTTTACAACTAAACCTGGCAGTGAAATACCATATACTAAGTTAAAAACGATGACATTTATGTAATGTCAAAGGCACAGGCACACACATCGTGCTACAACATAAGGAGCCAAGTTTAAGTTGCTGCCTAAGGATTTGTTACGAACATTCTTAGGGAGCAGAAAACATAAAGACTAAAACATGCTGCACTGAAAGATGTCGGAGTAGCACACACAGGTTGAGGAATGGCACAAATGCTTCTTTTTTTTTTTTACAAAGAACGTCACACTAGTCAAGGTTAAGGTTTCAGTTTAAAAAAGCAAGCGACAATATAGCAGCAATTGGTTTTGATTTGTCTGGCTTATTCAAACTGATAAGGCTTCAGAGAAACAATGACTGCAGCCTTCTCAATAACTTTTTGAGCTAATGGCTCAGAGTACGAGGCTGGAGTCATTTCCAACATCAACACATACAGTAGATGTTCTGTGCAGTGAAAATGTTGGTGAACACAGACTGTTTAAACTGATCACTGATGAAAATGTCTAACCAGCATCACAGGCATGAAAAGAGTTAAGAAGTCATAATCAGCTGCAGCTGTCAATCAATTGTGTACAGTGAGATTACATACATGTTCAAGAATCTAATAATTATTGCACAATGAATTTATCTTTATTCTTTATCATGCAGCAGTCCCAGCTGAATGCATGCAGCTCACAAACTTCACTTTGTTTTATGTAACTAAAGACAAGATCATGAAATCTGATCCACATCAAAAGCATCATATTGTGAACATTTGAATAAGACGGTTTTGATCCTTTAATTTTATGACCATGTTCCTCAGGGGGGAAACTAACCACCTTAATAAACTATATAAATAATTTTAAATGTTTTTTTCTATTAAAAAAACTAGTCCGTCTTTTAGAGCTGTATCAGCCCGAAATTAAAAAAAACATCTAACTTAAATTATTTTTTCATTATAACTCTTTAAGGGTTTTTTTGTTCAAAAGCTCTACACTACAGGTTTTTTAAATTGATTAAATTTTTTACAGTAATTTTAAGCATTGTATTTTCCTCCATTAGACCACCCTCTGGGTCAATATCCACATCCTCCTCTGTTCTCCAGAGCTCAGAACTGATGCTTGGTTCTGTTGGCCCAGTCAGAGGGCTCCTGGACCCCCTCCTCTCCACAGAGTCAGACCTGCTAGTGGGGCTCGGCTAGCTCTTCCTCTCTTTCCTCTTCTAAAACAACTCATGATCACTCTCTTCATCAACAAAGTCCTCTCTGTCTGACTCAGACTTTATGTCTCCTTCATGATCCTCTCCTCTGAGACGTTCTGACTCCAGTTCCGTCCTCCTCTGTGTCCGCTTCACTTTCTAAAATAGTTTCACTGTTTTGACTCAAACACACTCAAACTGACTGTACTAAACAATAAATAGAGATGCACCGATCCGATACCAATATCGGTACTGATATGAAAAAACTATCGTGACAATGTGACCGATCCATGACTGGGCAGATCTATTCACTAATTCTGTGCTTCGTGCTCTGAGTGACACGCTAGCATACTGACTGAACAAATTAAAGTGGTCTTGTTTTTACATGTTTGACCAAGCTTGTGAAGCTCTTGGTGTGTTTAAGTGTGCTGTTATGGTGCAGAGTTTTCAATAAATTTGTAATTCAGTACATTCATGTCTGCGTTTAACAAAACAAATGTTTTAAGTTAATTCAGCACTGGGTTTGTAAGTGCAAACATCCAGGTAGACAACAAAAATGGCTAAATCATGTCATCTGGACCCGTTTCAGAAACGGCTCTAGATGACACAATTTAGCCATTTTTGTTAATTCAGCACAGTTTTTCCCAGATCGGCATCAGATCAGTATCGGGTGACTATAAAACACGGGTATCGGTATCGGATTGGGAGTGGGGGGGGAGAGAGAGAGTGGATCGGTACATCCCTAACAATAAACAACACTAACTATAAAACCCAAACACGCTAAATATCACAAATCTCTCAAACCTCAAGACTCACTCCCGCTCTCGCTGTGACTATCGTGCCAAACTTCATTCAGCTTCTGTGTCTTTTTCTTTCTGTAGATTGTTTTCGGCGCTTGACAAATAACTTCAAGACTCCATCAGAAAAGAGAGGGGAGGTTGTTTATCTGTTCGGCGGGGGTGGGAGGTGAAAGTGGAGGGTGACGGGGCTGTTTCGTCTCCGAGATTGCACGTCTTTGCCACAGCCTCTCGCTCTGACGCGCTTCAGATATGATTATTTTCAGACAAAGATGTGGCGTGGATTATTTATCATAACTCTGTTTTTACTTGACCTATCAACACATTTAAAAAAAACTGGTATGTATTTTAAAGTCTGTACTTTTGACAAATTAAACTAGAGTTGCTCAGAGTCCGTGTCCTTCCGGCTAGAGCGACTGAAATCGGTCATGTGACTACCACGTGCTGACATGTCCGTTGACTCCAATAGAAAAAAATAAATTGTCAGTAAGCGTAGGTGACAAAATCGCTGCCTGCCACCTGTTAAAGGTAGTGACTGTTTCAGTACTTTATGTCCTTTCACACGGGAACATTTTGTTCATGTTTAAGATACTAGTCAATCAGTCAAATATCAATATTAGTGCATGACCTGCTGTTATGTCTTAATACTTATGGTATTCCTTGAAATATTCTAGTAAGTTTTACTTGTTTGACTCAAATCTAAAACATACTGGATGCATTAAGTACATGCATTAATTAGAGACAATAGTTACATTTTAAAAAATGACAAGATTGTAACTCCAGTTAAAAATAAAATGTTTTTCAAGCACATACAAATCTACAGAGGATGGCACGTACCTGAAAGCTTAATCAGCAACTCAGAAGCTACTTTTACGTTGATATCCTGGCTAAGCAAGTTGTTTTTAGCCAAGGGGCTTCCGTCCTTCAGTTTTAGCGATGCTGGGTGCTCTGCTGTAGCCCCTGCTGGCCCATCCTGGCAGAAAGTGTCAGGAAAGCTTGGCTGAATCTGGCTCTGGGACTGTGAGGATGATCTTGGGCTCAGTGCCTCCATCACTTTGGGCTCTTCCTTTAGGTGGAATGGAGACTTGAGTGTTTCCCTCTGGTTGGCAGCTGAACACATAAAGACAGAAGAAACCAAAAGAATGAGAACACCAGCAATGCTCGAGTGAAGCCTGGATACAAGAAAGTAAGTGATGACAAAAAATAAAATAAAATAAGCTAAACTCTAAAATGACACAACGGACACTATTCATTCCACTGTCTACAAGAGTGATAGCATCAAATAGTAATTTCTGAATTCCAAGAAAAACAATTAAATAGTGAGGAGTACTGCACATAAATAGTACAAACAGCATGCTGACACAGCGCATGAAAATGCCAGTGCAATAAAACAACAAGGTGTAGGTTCTGACAGCCAAGCTGCAAATAAATATTTGATCTTCTCAGTATCAGCAACTAATTGCCAAAGTTTTTGCTCCCTTATTTGGCCTTCGCTCATTCATTTCTTTACACCCGATTTCTATCCATTCATTATTTTAACCTCCTTCTTGTTCAGGTCACGAGGGTCACTGGTGCCCATATCCAGCAGCCACTGTGCGAGAGGCAATGGCAACACCACCCAACCCCCCAAATATAAATAAGATAATGAATTTGAGAAGCAATCGGTTCAACTTTTACATTTCATTGCTGCAGTGTGTAGCCTATGTTAGGAAATAAATTTTCACAAGGATCGCTCTGGTCTGAAGTCATCTTAAAAAGAAACTGGGTCACATCTAATCTGCCTTAGATGAATAATTAATAATTAGACATGGAGCAAGTTTCGACAGCCACCAAGAGAAAACAGCAGGCCAAGCGCCTCTCTTTGTGTTGTTCAGTATGTTCCACTAATCTCTGAAGTGAAGGTTTGTTTAGAGCTGTAGCAATATACACATCTTCAAAACACCGAGGTTCTAAAATATGATCCAAAATACATTCCACTGAGTTAGCACAGCAGTAAGAAACAGTCTGAAATAAAAGAAAATGGGTACACTGAACATTTATTCAGAACTTTATAAACTAGAAAAAGAAAATAAACTTTCTGGAAACACCATTTTCTCTGTAAATCTTTCCACCTTGTTTGAGCTTTTTTTTTTTTTATTAAGAAGAAAACCATTAGAATGAATGGTGGTAAATGTAAAACCAGTGTTAGGTTTTGTAATGTTGCCTTGATATCGTTTGTAAAACTCTAAAAGAACTTGACTATAATCACACTTTGGTATTTGCATCTGTGGTGTTTAGATGTAGAAGTATTGCAAGAAGGACAAAGTAGCTTTGACAAATTAAAAAAAAGAGACTGGTCTTATAGTTACAGTTATATTATAAACAGGCTAATTTATTAATCTTTATAATTTACAAGACAATAAAAATAATAATACTGGCAATAATATATGAGGATAATAATAATAACTTTATAATTAGTTGTAACTGATACAAAAGATTATTTTTCACCATTTGAGTTTTCAAAATAAAATACATTGGTACTATGTGCGCAAAACGGTAAAAGTCATGCAGTCTAAAAAAATTACATTCAACTATTTGAAGTGGGGTTCTATAGAAAGATGATGATCAAGAAGTTATGGAATAAGCTCTAGCTAACTCTTGGAACAACATCAGTTTGGAGACACCCACCTTATCAACTAATCTGAGTGGGGACAGAACCAAGAAGGATTGCTGTCATCTTCAAACAACTCCAATCTCAAAACTGTTTCATAGCAGTAGCTGTCAATGCTATTTTATGAACACTTACCACACTGCTACTTTCTTATTAGACTGTTATTCCAGCAGGAATATTTTAGCATTCCTGCTGGAAAGTCCCATATTGCTATACGATGTATGGCTGATGCTATTGGTGCTTGGAAATAACCACATAATTACAGAATAGAATAGAAACAGCCTTATTGTCCCACGGATGGGAAATTCAAGTGTAGCAGCAGCAACAGATAAGATAAAAATATTTCACACAAAAGTTCCTAAATGTTAATAAAAATACTATATATAAAGAAAAATGTGTAAATCACTGTAATAGGAAACTAAAGGCTGAGTAAAGGTTTATAAAATAGCATTCACATACCGTAAATTCTGAACTATTGAGCGCACCTGACTATAAGCCACGCCCACTAAATAATAAAAAAATAAACATGTTGTTCATATATAGGCCACGCTTGTATATAAGCCGCAGGTGTCCACGTTGTAACATGAGATATTTACACAGAATTATTATTACTTTTTTACTTTTAATTAAATATGTACTGGTAACAGAAACACAGTAGCCTTCCAGGAAGTCATTGATCACTATCTTCACCTTCTTCCTATGCACTGCGCAGGAGGATCACAAGCTATCCTCTTCATCAAGCAGCCACCTTTCGAAACCCGTTGGTGATAGAGGATTTTTTACCCTGCTCCGCTGTCATGATCCACCGGCAGACTTGAGCAAAAGTTGCTCTTCGCATTTGGCCAGTTTTGGTAAACAAATTCTCGCCGCAAGTCATCAATGCCTCCCACCGAGCTTGGAGTGCTACATTAATGCACGAATCACACTTATATCGAGTGGCTGCAAATATTTAATTCCCCCCCCTCCCTGGGGGCACAACAGGAAGGGGAGGAGAAAACAATGGTGGGGGTAACAAAGTTTACTTCCACTGTGACCTGTTGGGTAATTTCACTGGTCAGTTTTTTTTAACCTTTATTTATACAGGTAGTTTCATTGAGTCATGAAGACTCACCCGCACAAGAGAGACGTGCATTGGGCAGCTATGTGAGTGCCCGGGTGTGACGAGACAACATCCTCGAATCCTATCCCTGGATTCTAAAGAAAACCACCAGATCGGTAAGAATTGCAGCTCTACAACGAAAGTGAGCGACCGTTGATGTGAGTTTTCCTGTAGATGACGATCCAACCCTAGCTACTAGGTTGGATTACGGGGTGAGATAAGGGTGTGGCTCACAGATGGAGGGCGTAAACAAGTCTGGCTGAACCACCTTCACACACAGCCTAAGCTGAACTAGTTTAAAATTACTCTGGGTAATACTGAAGCCGAACACTTAGTTCATTACAACCCTTAGAGGAGAGGCTGCAGTGGGGTTTAGCCATAACCTAAGTGGTATTCCCCACTGGGTAGAAACAACATGTTTTGGCGGCATGAAGCTTGTTAGTCCATCAAAAAAAAAAAAAAAAAAACGAGTCCAACAATTAGCTGCAGCATTGCATAAGCCACGGTGTTCAAAGCATGTGAAAAAAGTAGCGGCTTATAGTCCGGAAAATACGGTAGATCTAAATTTCTGAGACTGGAATCAATTTAAGGTGGCAACAATCTTTGCCTCAGTTGAACGTTGTTAGCTTGTCATCCCATTCAAAATTTAATTCTGTTTCTCCAACTTTAAGATGTACAAGGAGCCAAGATATTTTTTCTGCAAAATAATATTTCAAGAGATCTGGACGTAACGACACCTAATAAGGAGCTATGCAAATAAGATAACTTTAAACAAAAGAAAGCATCTATTCTGTATTTGAAAGCTACTGTGTGGCACCAACCACACTCAACACATGACAAGTTTACAGTCTAAAACACAACCCAGAAAGTCTTTCACACACACTGGGAAGAGATATAAAACAAGCATTCTTTGGGCAGACCGCTGTCCATTCTCCTTTGACCCCAGCAGAGATCTGCTCTGCTCCTTACCCTCACATCACACCTAACATCCCTCACCACCACAGGCAGTGGTGCGCCCATGGCTAGCACCATCAATCTGTGCCAACTCCTGCCCTTCTGATTAATGATGATCTGAACCAAAGGGCTTTGAGACAGGAGAAGAGAATGGGTGCGAATGTTTTCATCACTTGCGTGATGCCATGATGCCACAGTGCCACAGCATGGCAGATAGGAGCTGTGGTTCAAGAGGGCAAAAAACTGGAGGAGGGGGTGACCTTCAAGTTCAGGGGGCAGCGGTGCAGGGTAGCACATGGCACCAGCTGGAAATGCCACACTGTCGGATGTCAGCGGGCAGGCTAAGTATAACCTGGTCAGCACCTGGAAGGACGTCCTCTAATTATTAGCATGTTGGGGCCTTGTTGGATCAAAAAGCGACAGCGCACACGGTCATTGCTTACAAATACCCTAAACATTCACATTTGAACAACACATATTGATTACATGTGGAGAATCACTGCCAGATTTGATATATACTGAGATAAACTCGTTGAGCAGTGCATTAGCCACTGAAAAAGACACGCTCAACACAAACTTTCTTAAATTCTTCTCGTCTGTAGCCCCAAGAGTACAAAAACAACTTCAGGACATCTATTCACACAAAGACACACCACTCTGTGACCTTTTGTATTGTTGCTATAAATAGAGAGTATTTCCACTACTGTATCGTTGTTACAGAGACCATTGAATTATTTAGTAGCTTAATCCAATAGGCAAGTTTTTTATTTTTTTATTATTCATATATGCTGATGGCTCAAGAACAATAAGTCAGAACAACGTACTAACAAGAGGCCGTACTGTGGCAAAATTCAGCCAGCAACACCAAGTTTACACTTTTAGTCTTTTGTCTGTTAGAGCTTCACAATTGCAGTTACATTGCGACCATCCGGTCCCTAGCAGATCATTTTGTGAAGATAACACAGATCTGCAGAGGCGATAGGCATCTCTGGGTGACGGAGCTTCTGTTCTGTGAGCGTGCTGCTTATGTACTAACCCAGGCCAGTGTCGGCTCTCTGCGCATGATGCTATAAGGCAGCTTCCAGCTCTGGAGGGGCAGTTGTCTCAGTTTGTCTCCATGTTATCACACCCTTATGACACCTGCCACCGACACCACTTCCACCACCATTTTTTTACTTAGTGTTCTCTCCCTCACCCGCACCCCCATGTCTTGCCTCTCTCTTGTGCCTCATCCGTCTCACTGGCAGACGCTTGTCCACTCCACCTCACCTCTCGCTCCCCGGCCAGGGCTGCCGTCAAATAACTTCATTAGCTTTCCACCTCTGTCACACCGGCCTGCTCCCCTTCTAACAACCAACTGCAGTTTTCTCTGAGAGAGAAAAAAAAAGAAAACTGAGGGCTACGTAG